TCTCGCACAAAAGGACTGAAGCCCAACGGATCGCTCGACGCGCCAAGACCTTCATCGCGCTCGGTGACGAGCTCTACAAATGGAGTCCATCAGGGGTGCTCATGAAGTGCATCCCACCAACCAGGGGAAGCAGCACCTCCTCAAGGTCCATGATGGGATTTGCGGACATCACGTGGCCCCAAGGTCGCTGGTCAGAAAAGCCTTTTGCCAAGGTTTTTACTAGCCCACCGCGCTATGAGATGCAGAGGAGGTCGTCTGCAGGTGTGAAGGATGCTAGTTCTACGCTCGGCAAACCCATTTGTCGGCACAGGAGCTCCGAACCATCCCCATTACCTGGCCATTCGCGGTCTGGGGCCTTGACATGGTGGGACCCCTCAAAAAGGGCTTAGGCAGCTTCACTCACCTACTCGTTGCAGTCGACAAGTTCGCCAAGTGGATAGAGGCCAAGCCCATCACAAACATTCATTCAGAAGAGGCAGTCAAATTCTTCCTCGACATCATCTACCAGTTCGGCGTTCCTAATTGTATCATCACCGACCACGGGACTAACTTCACCGGAAAGAAGTTCTTAGACTTTAGTGATGGATACGGCATCAGGATAGACTGGGCCTCGGTCGAACATCCATGAACAATGGCATGGTCCTCCAAGGACTTAAGTCACGCATCTTCGACTGACTCAACAAATACGCTGGGCGATGGGTTGCAGAGGTCCCAGCAATCCTCTAGAGCCTGACAACGACCCCAAACCGATCCATAGGATTCACACCCTTCTTTATGGCCTATGGAGCTGAGGCAGTGCTGCCCTCCAACCTCGACCATGGCGCCCCAAGAGTGAAGGCTTTCAACCGCGACCAAGCCGAGGAGGATCAACAAGACGTAGTCAACCTACTCGAAGAGGCCCACAAGACGACTATCATCCGTTCCACTCGCAACCAACAAACCCTACGCAGGTACCACGAAAGGAAGATTAGGGGGAGGATACTCGAAGTCGGCGATCTCGTACTCCGGAGGACCCAATCAATGAAGGAAAAACACAAACTCTCTCCACCATGGGAAGGGCCCTATACGGTGACCGAAGTAATCCGACCGGGCACCTACCGACTGGAGGACAACAACGGCAACGTTCTCACCAACACTTGGAACATTGAACAGCTACGTCGTTTTTCCCCTAAAATTTGGTCTTACCGCTTTTCAGTCAAACTTGCCCCTATAAAACACCCTAGCCCGAACACTTTCAGCCCGGGTCGCTCGGGGGCTCCATGAGGGTACAATACTAAATACTACCTCTCTTTTGACTCTCTTTTTTACTGTCACATGGTAAAACAACTTCGTCCCCGAATAGAAGCGCATTCCTTTTCCTTTGATTGTCCTACATAACTTTGTTCTTACTCCTAACCGAACGCACCCCACCACGACCTACGGTTATGAGCAGCCGAGCCCCACGGGCCATGCCCAGGTTCTTAAAAATCTACAACCTACGAAACTAACGGGCAGGTGCAAAAAAGAAAGGACAAAAACTATAGCTATGCTAGGATAAAAACAAGGAATGGATAGTGATTCTATCACAAAAAGCAGCACTGATGTATTCATTGATACAAAAAACTGTTCACACGGGGACTCACCCACGAACTCAACTATTACATTTTCTACTACTACTCCAAATACTACCACGACACACGCCGCTAGACGTAGCAACCACTACAGGGCCCCCGCCCGGTTCCGTTCCCTCGACTTCGGCGAGCGCAACAGGTACCTCAAGGGATCTGCCCGGTCCCGTTCCCTCGACTTCAGCGAGCGCAACGGGTACCTCAAGGGATCCACCCGGTCCCGTTCCCTCGACTTCGGTGAGCGCAACGGGTACCTCTAGGACGTCGCACCCATAGATGCTCAATAGAAGAGCATGGAGCTCCTGACCTTCTCATGCAGTCGAGGCAGCTCCTAGGTAGGAACGTCGCTACTGAGGTACGACCGCCATGGCTGGAAGAGATCTCATCAAACTTTATGAACTGGCCAACCTGAGCAGCTGCAGGCGTGGAACCCTGCACTGGCACGATCCTGAGCAACTTCCCCTCCGACAAGGCTCGCCTGATGAAGATCCATCGGAGAAAGTCCACACACGGCTCCATCCCAAAGAATGCCTCACAGACGAATCCAGCACGCCACCCCCTTCGACGGAAGCCGCCCCTTCTTAGGCAGAGACGGCCAGCACCGCCCCGGGCAGCCTCCAGCCCGACATCGTGCTCTAGATTCATGAAAGGATCTATAAGTCCTCCCCCTCGCTCATCCCCTCTCTCACTTAGGAACCGCCACGACATACAGGCACTCTCGGTGAGGAGGAAGAAGGAAGAAATACAATAGTTGGAGAACAGGCAAAGGACTGCGACGGAGAGCCCTCTCCCTCCCCCTATTTAAGGAAGAAACGCGACAACCGAAGAGGGGCAAAAGATTAGAGCGAAAAACTCTCTCCCTTCCCCCATTCAATGTGGATGGGAAACGATGGGACACACCCTGACCGATGGGACACACGCTGACCGACGAAACGATGCCAGGTCAGACGGAGCGCCGCCTGGTAAGACAAAATGTGGCCTGGGTATGGCCCACCACTATCGCATGACCGGGCATGAAAACCAAAGTGTCACCACACGCAGGCAGCTCTCCGCATCCCCAGGCGGGACATGGAAAAACCCAAAACGGGATCTCCGTCGGGAGAGACCATCGGGCTTCCTAAGTCGATCGAACGGCTCAGAAAAACACACTGAGAGACAGGTAGGGAGCGAAGGAATGCCCCATGTAGGTCATGCCGACTCCGTCATGAACGACGAGCACAGGTCCCGGTCGGACATTTCCGACTGAAGCTCTCCAAACCCCGTCACTCGAGTCATCAAGGTAATACTACCGACGTCCTCTATTTCTTTATAAATCATTTCATACATCCATACGCGCATCCATTCCATACGCCCATGCCCCTCGGACGATTCAGGCCCTGAACCGCCTGGGGGCTCAGCAACTAAGCATCGCACATGCAGCGAAATGCATCACAACACTCCGTGTTGCGTCACGAAGCGGCAGTTGCCTCATTCGACATGGGCAACGACCGATCGGGGTTCGAAGTCCGGCCCGCAAAGGGCTCGAGGCCGCCCCACGTCAAACAAAGCTAGGGGAGAAAAACATAGATGAGCCCCGTGCGGCCCTCGCCCAGTCTAGCAGACAGGGTCATCTCAACCTTCTTATTTGATCCTAAGCTTCTGCCAAGCCCACAGAATCTCCATCGAGGGGAGGCCATTAGGCCACCCGGGTCGGTCTCCGGAACGACCCAGGCATCTACCGGGTTGCAGGTAAAGGAGCAGTGGAATGTCACAAAGAGGGCTATGCTAACCCCGTCACGAACGACGGACCTGGATTCCACTCGATCATACCCGTTAGCGAACTCACCGAGCGCGTCACTCGAGCCCGAGCGATCGGGACAAGCGACAAAACTTAGCCCCTCCGGTTGTGAGGAACCGAGGACGAGGTAACGCACACAACTCAAACCGACCCCTACTAAAGCCCAACGGGGCTCGGGGGCTCAAGACACAAAACGCCTGGGTCTGCGACCCCGAACTCGCCCCATCCAGCTATGCTTCGACTGCACTCCAAAACTACCTGGGTCTGCGACCCCGAACTCGCCCCATCCGACTACGCTTTGACTGCACTCCAAAACTACCTGGATCTGCGACCCCGAACTCGCCCCATCAGGATCCATGACTCCGACTCGCCCGGCCCCACGACACACACCAACGCTAGGATCAGGGAGCTCCATCTCAACCGATCCCCACGGTGTGCTAGGGTATTGGGAGAAGTAAAAAACAGACAGAAGAATCATTTTTTGTCTTTAATATTAGGTATATAGATTAGGAAATATACTAATCATGTGTTGAAACAGAACGTACATCTTATTGCACGATCACATGCACGATTTGCAGCTGCGAGATCTATTCACCGTTTATCATTTTCCAATACATTTTGGAAACGAATTCCATATCGTCACTTAACGCGTATTGGAATCGGATTTTATACCATCATTGAATACACGTTATTCCAACTTGTATTAAATAGGTCGTGAATCCTGATCACACACATGGAATAGGAAAGGATGTGAGGACATTGGTGGAGTACACATGGTATAGAAAATGGTGTGAGGACTCCCAAATACTATTTGGCGCGCCTGCTGCGCCATGTAGTAGCGCACGCGTGGCGCAAGGGGAGAGCGGGGACTGAGTGTGGAGGGTGTATGCTGGAGAGAGGAGGACGACACGTGTAATTGTGTCAGATATGTTTTTGTGAAATATGCATGCTGTACATGAACTTTAAAATGTGATAATTTTTTTGTCAAGCATATATTTTTAATTCCGTTTGCATCATTACGTTCAATATGACGAGATCTATAAAAGTTGATCCATATTGGATATGTTTTGAATAATTTTCGTGGTTGTAAAGTTTGACGCCTAAGAGTATAAAGTTTCAAATGTTGTAGTACAAAGTTTCAAAACTTGGAGTGCATAAATGTTTTTTTTCCCAAAGTTGTTAACGTGAATGGTACAACACTGTATGCATGTGGCCATCACGCAAGGATCAAGTGTTTCAGTAATTTGGCTAATAGAGACTAATTACAAGATATTTTGCCTCTTTCCAAATAAAATAATATATAAAAAATTATTTTTCGAGAAAGTAATATGTTATTTAGTCTCTTAGATGGACGGTCCACAGTTATTTGGGAGTACCACAGTAAAGCTCCTCTATTTCTCTTAATGAAATACTTGCTAAGCACCATCGCTAAAAAGATTCACAAGGTTCTCTAGAAAGGGAACACCAGAGAAAAACTCTGATTTTCTTATAGCTGATCTGTTTGAGACAGTAGCATAACATAGCCCCTGCTTACCATACATATTCATGGCACATTTATCTCCATAAAGAAGATTAAAATTCAATACATCATGATTGAGAGGGGATGTCTCTCAGTATCATTTTCTAATGCATATTCCCCATGTCACCACGATTACAAATGCAAACCCAACACCAAATCCTAATCCTGTGAAGAGGAATAGTATGATATCAGGTTTCTCATTCAGTGGATGCGGGACAATATTCGAACCATTGCTGCACCCTTTTGACAACGGAGGCCCGCACAAACCGTCATTTCCAAGAAATGAGTCATTCGTGAATGTGCCGAAATGAATTGACTCTGGTATTCTTCCCACTAGCATATTGTCAGATAGATTTAATGTTGTGAGGAAGTCCAGTGATGCTAGCTCTTGCGGGATCTCCCCTGAAAGCTCATTTGACGAGAGATCCAATGACTCAAGCTGGTTCAAACGGCCAAGTTGGTTGGGTATGGGGCCTGTCAAGGCATTATGTGACATGTTCAATTCAGAGAGATAGACAAGATCACCTATTGACTTCGGGATTTCTCCATGGAACAGGTTACTTGAGACATCAATAAATACAAGGGCCACTAAATTATTTGAGAATGCAATGTCGTGCCCTTTGTGTGTGAGCTCAACAGTGACCTCAACAGTAAATCGGTATGCCTGTCCATGAGGATATCGATTTTCCACCATAAATGTCTCGTTAGAAGAACTGGCCGTCATGGACTTCAAATTGCTAAACCACTCTTCTGGCAGTGTACCATAAAGGTTGTTTGAGGCTAAATCGACAACTCGAAGTTCCAAGAAATCACAATTGCTCCTATCTTCTGCAACAGAGGGTCCCAGTCCCAGGTGCCCAGTAAAATTGTTAGACTTCAACACAAGGACTCGAAGCTTAGGAAGTTTACTCATCCAACATGGAAAAGAGTCACTAATCTGGTTGTTTCCGATGTCCAATATCTCTAACCATTGGCAAGCCACCAGAGATCTAGGTATTTTCCCTTCAATCTTGTTGCTACCAAAACCTAATGCCCGGAGTGAACATTCTTCTTTCATGCTATGTGGCAACTCCCCGTGAAGTTGATTTCCCGCCAAATTTAACACTTGTAGGCTATTGAGGTCCTCCATTAAGCAGGTAGGGATTGATCCATTCAAATTATTGTAAGAGAGATCAAGGAGATTCAGGCTCCATGCAGTGCATATCGGCGCTAGAATTTCTCCAGAGAGTTTGTTTCCAGAGGCTTTGAAAGATTCAGTATCAACGATGAAAGTGCCAAAATTAGATGGGATAGTTGAGAATTGGTTGCTTGAGTAATCCAGCAACCAATTTGCTTCCTGTGGTAAAGGTATTGCCCCTTGGAAATTGTTGAAACTGAGATCAAAATACTGGACGTATATAGGAAGAATAGGGTAATCATAACCCATGCTCGTAAAATTGTTATGTGAAAGGTTCAAAAAGCTAAAAGAGGACCATTTCTCCCATACCCATTGGGGCACAGCCCCGTTTATGTAGTTGTTTGAAATGTCCAGCCCATTAATCTGGTCCAGATTTCTCAAGTCATTTGGGAATTCAGATATGTTACAAGAAGCTAAACCCAAATACTTTATTGGGGGGAGGGATGCCAATGAAGAGTTGTCTTGGTCTTCTGGTACCACATTTAGTAGATTGTTTGAGAGATTCAAATCAAATAGCTTTGGTAGTTTCCAAAGTGGAGTGAGTTGCACTGTACCAACCAAATTATTTGAATAAAGCAAGAGCATGTTCAAGTGCGTTAAATTTGAAATATGTTGAGGTATTTCCCCCAAAAAATTGCATCTGAAGAGTGCTAGTTTTCTCAATTTTGGCAAATTGCCGATGAAAGAAGGTATTGGCCCTGATAAACCACAATTTGAGAACTGGAGAACCAACAAAGAAGTTAAATTAGTCACCCATGCTGGTACTGGCCCTACTAGCCCGAATCCAGAGACCTCTAATAGTTTTAAGGACGTGAGCTGACCCATCGATGAGGGTATCTCCCCGGAAAACCCTCGACCACCAAGGGCTAACTTCTTCAAGTGTTGGAGATTGCTGATGGAACTCGGAATTGTACCAGAGAAGTTGGTGTTACCAAGAAGCAGATTCTTTAATCGGCTATCAGCAGAGAAATTTGGTAAAATGCCAGATATTTCGATATTGTTGCTAAGATCAACCGTTCTTAATTTCTTTTGTTCAAATATTTTCGGGGAGACCCACCCTTCATGATGATTGCGGCTGAGCTGGAGTACTTCCAGAAAGGAGAAGTTGGCAAAGAACTGGGGAATAGGACCATCCAAATGATTTTTACGTAGGTCAATTAGAACGAGCGAGCTCAAGCGAGACAGTGAAGCACTGATTGGCCCATGCAGCTGGCAAAACGGTAAGCTAAGAACTTGAAGATTCGGAGTATAATTGGCAAGGGCATTGCACCACTCCATCGCAGGGTTATTTGACAAGTCCACAAAGCCAGCACGGAGCTCCAGCAAACTACTAAGGTTTGCAATCAATCTTGCAAGGTTTGGCTCTACAAGCCAATTCCCAGCATAATTGAAACTGTAACCATCATCGGCTAGGTCAAGGATATCGAAAGCAGCAGAGAGATCGAGGGAGACCAAATTCCTTAGACTTCCAATACCAGTTGGTATCTCCCCTGAAAAGCTGGAACTAGAGAGGTTGAGGTGGGTGAGCTCAGTTAAACGCTCGAACCCAGCAGCTGGGAGTTGAGACCCGTTGAAGCAGTTACCACCAAGGTTGAGATACCTGAGTAAGGTCAGCTTGAAAAGCGCAGGGCTGAGCCCGCCACTCAACAAGCCGCAGTCGCCCAGGTCGAGAGATGTCACGTGCCCGTCGTTGGAGTGGTCGCAGTGTACGGCCTCCCATCCGCAGCAGTCGGTGCCGGGCCTCCACGATCGGAAGGCCATGGTGGAGTAATTGGTGACGGAGAAGGACTGCTTCAGCTGGAGCAACGCTAAGGCCTGGTCGGGAAGGCATGGAAGCACCGATGCGGTGATCGTCGTGTGGTTGGTGTACGCACCACCGCCTGCGCCTGGAGGTACAAGCGAGCATAAGGCTAGGACGACTACGAGCTGTATTATTTGTAGCAGCTGGAGGAGCAACACCGGCAGCTCATGAAAAGCCATTGTGGAGGGCATGTGTGCACTACCTACCGTGCAGTGGGTGGGTGGGGGCGGAGGGGAGTATGCCTAGTGTAGAGGGAGGATTCCACCGTGCCCCAGTTTTATACATCAGCGTAGCTCTTCTGATTTACGTGTACCGATCATTTAGCAGTCAAAGCAGCGTCGGTACCATGGGCCCTGGCACCATGCTGCTCGGCCAATCGGCTCTCTGATTGCAACGTACTTACCAGTCAAAGCAGTCACAACCATGCGGCCATGCCAACGGATTCCCTGGATCGAGCGTAGACGAGACATGGATTACGGAGCAAGAGCATCTCCAACAGCCTTTTTAAATCTTACTCTCTAAATTATTAATTAGAGAGTCATTTGCATAAAAATCGCTTTATATATCTTTTCACTCTTCATAAGTTTTTCTATATGTCGTGCTCACTCTAGAGAGTCATTCACGTCTTCTAGTTAGCGAAAAATCCAGAATAGAAGATGGCTATATTTGGATAATCATTTAGAGAAGCAATTGAAGAGTAATTTTCCACCAAAATCTCTATTACTAGCATTTAGGAATGATATAGAGAGTCTCTTGGAGTTTCTCTAAGTCTTTAGCTAGGTCATACATGTCTTGTTCATATAGAGCACTCAGTCATAAATATATAAAGTAGTCGTCATCGCTTACAATGCGAAGCTAAGGTACATTGGTGGAAGCTTCAATTACAAGGCGAAGAATGGCGGTGGGGAAATCGGCTTGTATCAACTGAATTTTCATATAATAAAAATGAGTACGACAGAGGGCGACACCGAAGAGAAGGCGGGGACGGTGACGCCGAGGTGACGTGGCCCCCAGCCTCCAGGAATCTCCAGTGAGAAAGCATGGGACTCCCCCGCGTCTCCTAGATTTCGAAACCAGGAGGAGAGGCCCGCTGGTACGAGACACCAAAGGAATAGAGTGATGTGGAGGTCGGGAAGAGAGGCAGGTGGCGCGCTGTCTGCCATGGATTTATCGAAGTCGGACTGGAGGTGGGAGAGAGAACGGATCTAGGAACCGCAACCCGATCGAAGGGGGGGAGGAGATCCAAAGCTTTTGGGGGCAACTCTAGTTCATCCCTGAGTCCAAGCCAGAGGTTAGGGTTAGCTCCAAGCGCATTTTAGTGTGGATCCAGAAGGACATTTGGAGCTCAAAATCCTTCGATATCAATGATTGCTACCCCGTGAGCGATGGAGATACTTGGATTCAACCACCTTCGAAGTTGAATTTTCGCGGAAGAGGTTTGGGGAAAGGGTAAGAAGAAGAGCTTCACTAGGATCGTGAAGGAATCCATGGCGGGAAGAGGTCGAGGACGCGGACCAAGGCCGCACAGTCCAAATGAAGATTGGGAGAGATGGGGAGGTGGAGGCGGAGGGTGGAATCAATACCCTCAGTATCCGCCGCCACAACCCCCACCACACTTCTTCAATTAGCCGCCACCGCTGCCATATGGCTTCTTACCCGATCAACCCCACATGCAGCATCCGCCACAGCATCCACCACCAGGCTTCAACAGGCAGTTTGAGGGACATCCAAGAGAGGGTGGATACCGAGGTGAAGAGGACGCCAACAACAAGCACCTAGGCAGAATGGTCAGGGTCAGAAACAAGCTCAGGAGGCTAACATGTAGTAGAGAGAGATTATGAAGGGTGAAGAATCTAGGAAACAGACGGTTGAGAAAGGTGAGAGCTCTAGAGGAGGTGGGCTAAAATTTAGAGCTAACTTTAGACCACTTGTTTGGAGCTTTATAATCAGCTCTAAATTTTAAACATCTAAAATTTCGAGGAAGAAATCAAACAGGCCCTAAACGGTCCTATGTACTGCCGCGCATCGTTAGATACCGACTTACCGTGTCGCACGGGTAAGAAAGCATCACGCACAGTTCCATCGTTAGGTTCCGACACGGTTTTCTCTTGATTTTTATGCCATCCAACACCAGTCCGTCAGCCTCGCACATATTATAAACACAAAAGGCAACATATAGATCTACCTGTAGCTGGGCAGCAGCCGGTGCGACGGCCAGGGCCCATGCCACGAGGGGCCCATGAGTACATCTATGTATATAGTAATTTTTTAATGAAATGGAAATTTAAATGTCCACACACTTGGCACAAGTCTAAAATTAAGGAATTAGCTTGTCATCACTTCCTATTCTGATATTTAGCTATTCTCGATTGCCAACCGATCCGGATCAAGCAATCATTTCGCCTCCCAATTGCCTAGACCAATTGCCAAACACAGTTTCTAGTTTGTTTGTTTTTTATATATAAAGAGTTTCTAGTTATCTTCGCTAGGTTTGACAAGCGTGTTCCCTCTATGGAGGGTAAACGCCGACGCATATGGCCGTATCGGCGGCACACCAACAAGCCAACCAAAGTCCAATCCAAACTACAAAGAGACGACACAATGACGCACAGTCGTCAGACTGCATGTGGACCAGTATTCTTCCTAGCCCTAGGAGAGCTCCTCTTGCAGTTGCAGGACAGAATGGCAGATAGCTCCAACCATGCTATTGCTATCTCCCCAGACTGCCTATTTCATGATAGGTCCAAACACATGCAGCGATGCAAATGCTGTTGGTACAGTCCACGCGCTCGTGCTCAGAATCAGCGAAAACAGGCATGTTGATGTTGAGTTTACCCACGGCACCGAGTTCTGAAAATGGTGTCCCAATGGGGGAATACAACCAAGCTGCCGGCATCGCTGTTGGTGTGTTGGAACCCACATGGATCCAATAACACAACTTTATACGGCTACAGGGACAGCTGTGTTTACCTGAACAACAGTTTAACATGAACTACATGCATAGGTGGCCTGCCCCTGCAGCACCGCTGGAACGCAACAGTTCCGAGTAGCATCAAGCTTGGGCCATCTGCACATGAACATCAAGGAGTCAGAATTCGGTAGAGCCGCAGATTCCATTGGTTGTTTCTTACTTCTCAAAAGCAGTTTGATTCTGCTTCCCGCATACTCTGTTTTTCAAAAGTAGGTTCAAATGAATGCTTTTCCCTATGCCATGGCATAATTACCTTTGGAAATCATAATCTTTGGTGAATAAGCCGGGTTCATGAAAACTTCTGATTTCAGGTTCTTTTAGTAACCAATCAGTTGCGTAAGGGCTACGGAACTGGATTCTACATGTGAAAGGACAAGAGGGCATATCTAAAAGATTCATGGACTAGAGCTATACCAGTTTCGCAGCATTTCTGTTTTTCAGTGTCAAAACTGCTGCTTCAGCGAAGGCCTGTGCAGCTCGGGCCTCTGCTTCTGCAGCCTCTGCTTCCCTAGCAGCTGCTTCAGCTTCTGCCATGATAGCCTCTGCCTCTGCAACTGCATGAGCAGCGGCAGCCGCAGCTGCCTCAGCAGTCATAGTTGCCATACGAACCAATTCAGCATCAACTTGGGATCTCGTGAGGGTTCTACTAGCATCACTCCCTAATTTCAAGGGTTCTCCTTGCACGTCTTCCAGCAGCATCATCTTGGGGCTTCGGCTCTCTAAGCGTGGTGAACTAGGTGCTATCCTGTACTTCCGATTCACCTGCAAACTTCCACTGGTCATGCTGAAAAGCTCAAGGTTCTTCAATTTGAGAACATGCAACTTCTGATTGGATCAAAATATGAACATTCAGCAATGAAAGATGGCTCATTGGCTCATGGACACCATAAAGCCCACAAATTGAGTTGTGCTGAAAATAGCATTTAAAGTAAGATCAGCCGGAAACCTGCAGTCTAACAAGGATTCTACATGAAATTAAACAAGAAATCATTATGTAATAGACTAACAGTGGAGTATTGTGCATCACTAAACAATAAATCAGTGCTTGCTAATACTGATAAACATGTTTGGCACTGTAATAATAGACAGATAGTAGAGTATGGTGCATGACTGAACAAGTCTATGCGTGTGCACCTTCTCAGAGCACATGCTTTATGGCCAAACATGTGTCATGATAAACCTTCATATACTTGTATTCACAAATATGGCATATGAGTTGTTCCAGTTGGATGAAAACTAGGCTTCTGATGGTGTTATGCACAGATTTTACTTATCTAGGACTACTTCATTAGATGATATCATGAGAATGCACTAGTGTGGTGGTTGGCCAGTGGCCACCCAGTTGTGGTGCCATAGGACCATGGTTTGAACCCTGGTTTTCACAAAAGGTCCCTCACTGTGTAACTCCTTTCAGAGATATACACAGTTGCATCCTGGGCAGTCAGCCTTCATGGCCTTCTTGACCCTGTAATTACGGTTTCTCCTTAATGCAGTGCCTTGGGGGAGACCTTTCCCCCAAGAAGAGGTTTTTTTGGTGATAACATTAATTGAATTTACTCACGTGGTATCACCTAGTAGTTTCATCTTTGAATTAACTTTATTTCTCATAGCATAAAATGATGTAGAGAGCTACAAAAATCATATTTACCTTTAACAATTTCCCACTGGTAGCTAAATCCTTCAGTTTTGCAGACAATAAGTGATCAAAATCACTAGGTGGCCAATATTGCTCCTACATAAAACCAGGGTAAGAACCTGATTGTGCACATAGCAAATAAGACGACCATGACCCAGTTGGCCAAGAATTTTTATTAGCTAATAAGAAAGAACATGATGATTTCAAAATGAAATCAGAACTCTGCAAGAAGACATAGTGCAATAGCTAACTTTTGACCAACAAAAGGACGAAATCTAATGTAGCTAGACATGCTTTTTTTTATTGGATTCTAATATTTGATATCTGTGATATATCATTTGTATACAGTCAAATCAGGTGTACTGAAGTTCTGTTTCTGTATGAAACGGTGTTCACTATTTATTTAGGTGTTTAGGAGTAATGATCCTTGCAACAGATATGGGTGGCACCAGCCATCACTGCATAGGCAGACAACCTGCCAACTTGGGCAAAATCATGAGTTCATGACGGCTGGGTAGTGCCACCTAGTTGATTTCTTATACACTTTTGTCAAAATAAAAACAATAAATTTA